CGCAACGCGGTCATGCTGAGCTTCACCTGGTGGCGGCCCTGCAGCTGGGCGGCAGCCCGGCGGTGTCCGTGGGCGATTGTACGCTTCCGCAGTTTTGCGGCAAACGTGGCACCATCAGGAGCGACCGGCCTGGTGGCTTCAGGCGGCTTGCGGGGCGCGTCGGCGGCCGCGGCGCCAGCGGGGGCCAGCGCCTGGGCGGCCGCGGGCCTGGCAACTGCCGCTTGGGCAGGGCCGACGGGCGTCTGGGCCGCTGGAGGGGCAGCAGCGGCCGGCGCCGTCGCGGGCTTGTTCGCCGCGGCGGACGGCACGAGGAAGCGTTGCACGGTGACGGGAACAGCGCGTTGCAGTGAAGCCGAAATGGCTACGGTGGTGTGGATGAGGGTGGCCGCAAGGCAGAAGTCTGAACATCAGATTTTGGTTCCTTGGGCCGTTGCCCACCCGGAGGGGCCCTGCCCGCCCAGGAAGAGGAGGAGGAGGAGGAGGAGGAGGAGGAGGAGGCGAGGAGGAGGAGGAGGAGAAGAAAATGGCGCGAGGGAGGACGTCGAGGACGAGGAAAGGGAGGATGAGAAGGACCGGGGAGGACGACGCGGAGAAGGTGGAGGAGGGAGGGGGTAGTCGAATAGGAACGACGTGCAGGCGTCGAAAGAGGACGAGCAGGCGGATAATGAGGAAGAGGACGAGGAGGATGGGGACGAGAGGACTGGGAGGGAAGAGGAGCCCCAAAGTCCCCAGGAGAAGGAAGACAGCGAACTACAGGAGAGAGAGGAGCAGGAGGAGGAAGAGCAAGAGGAAGCCTTGTCGTAGGCCCGTGGTGGGGTCTTCTTGGACCGTCCAGGAGTCTCGTGGGTTCTTCAGGGGAGCTGGTGATAGCATTCTGGGGTCTGGGGTATGTTTTAGTTTTCGCGAGTGTTCCGTGGGCTTCTGAGACGGAAGGAGAACTACGCATCAAATTGTGGTTCCCCAGACCCTGGAAGCCTGTCGTGGGATCTCTTTGGGGCCCCCGAGGTGTGTCCTGTGGCGCCTTGGTGTCTTTGGGGGCTTGGATATGAGTCTCAGATCTGGGGCCCTTCAGAAGGCAGCGGAGAAGGAAGACAGCGAACTACAGGAGAGAGAGGAGCAGGAGGAGGAAGAGCAAGAGGAAGCCTTGTCGTAGGCCCGTGGTGGGGTCTTCTTGGACCGTCCAGGAGTCTCGTGGGTTCTTCAGGGGAGCTGGTGATAGCAGTCTGGGGTCTGGGGTATGTTTTAGTTCTCCCGAGTGTTCCGTGGGCTCCTGAGACGAAAGGAGAACTGCGCATCAAATTGTGGTTCCCCGGACCCTGGAAGCCTGTCGTGGGATCTCTTTGGGGCCCCCGAGGTGTGTCTTGTGGCGCCTTGGTGTCTTTGGGGAGCTTGGATATGAGTCTCAGATCTGGGGCCCTTCAGAAGGCAGCGGAGAAGGAAGACAGCGAACTACAGGAGAGAGAGGAGCAGGAGGAGGAAGAGCAAGAGGAAGCCTTGTCGTAGGCCCGTGGTGGGGTCTTCTTGGACCGTCCAGGAGTCTCGTGGGTTCTTCAGGGGAGCTGGTGATAGCAGTCTGGGGTCTGGGGTATGTTTTAGTTCTCGCGAGTGTTCCGTGGGCTCCTGAGACGAAAGGAGAACTGCGCATCAAAGTGGTTCCCCGGACCCTGGAAGCCTGTCGTGGGCCCTCTTCGGAGCCCCCTTGGTCTGTCTTGGCACCCCTGGTTGCTTTTGGGGAGCTTGTGATAAGAGTATGTGGTCTGGGGCTTTTGACGAGGCAGCGGAGGAGGAAGACAACGAACTACAGGAGGAGCAAGAGGAGCAGGAGGATAAAGAGCCGGAGGAGGAGGAGCAGCAGAAGGAGGTTGGGAGGAGATTTCCGAAGAGTTGGTGTCGAGAGTTAGGTTGGAACCTTCTTGGACTTTCTTGGGGATGTCTTCAGAGCCTCGAAGGAGGAGATTTCCGAAGAGTTGGTGTCGAGAGTTAGGTTGGAACCTTCTTGGACTTTCTTGGGGATGTCTTCAGAGCCTCGAAGGAGCAGCTGGAGGAGGATCAGGAGAAAACCTCCTGAGAAAATGAGTATCAGTTTTCGTATCCCGGAGTCGGTGGAGGCAAATGAGGAGAGGGCGATGGAGGAGGAGGAGGAGGACGAGGAGGAGGAGGAAGGCGACGAGTTCGAGGGAAGAAGGAGGTTGAGGAGGGGATGAGGGGCAGAGAGGGGGAAACGGAGGAGGAGGAGGTAGAGAAGGACGAGAGATGGGCTGTCGGACGTCCGAGTAGGTCATGCCGAGAGTTATCTTGGAACCCTCTTGGGCTCTAGTGGGGATGTCTGCAGGGCCTCATGTGCCGTCTTGGGGCGAGGTTGAGAAGAACTAGGGGCGATGGGGGGGGCCGCTCAGGTCAATCAGAGTGTAAAGAATTTGACGGCTCTAAGACTGAGTGGAGCTCCTGTTGGTGCTTTTGTATACCATCGGAGGGCCTTCTTGGGCTGTCCTGGGGCCCTCGTGGGCTGTCTGGGGGGGCTTGGGCCGTCCTGGGGCCGTGTTGGGGCTCTCTCGGGCCCTCTCTGAAGCATCCCGTGACTCTGTTGGAGCCCTCTTGGGGGTCTTTTAGGGGTCTCTTGGGCGCTCCCTGGCTTTCTTTGCGCTTTATTGACCCATCTTGGGGCCCCATTGGGCCGCCTGGAAGCCATTTCGGGGCGACCTCGGAAGCTCGCAGATCATTATTGGGCCGTTCGTGGCCAGAAAAGGCGAGAAGCACAGAATCGTTCAAAAATAAATGGAAAATTAAGGTTTTTGGCCTGCTGAGGCCGTGTTGGAGGTCTTTGCGGGGGCATCCTGGACAGTCTTGAGCCCATGTTTGGTCCTGTTGGAGCACTATGGGGCCGTCTTGGGGCCTCTTGGGCCTTGCAGAGGACGTCTCGGAAGTGCCTTCTGCTGTCTTGGGCTCCCGATGTAGGCCTCGTGTCGCTCTCTTCGGGGTATTTTGGGCCGTCTCGAAGCATTGTGGGGCTCTCTTGGGAGCCTGTGGGGTTCATCTGGGGTCCATGTGGGGGGGGGTGTCGGTGACATACCAGGTTTTTCCTTGTAATTTGATAGGTAGAAGGAATGTATGTCTATATATATATATACATACACATAACTTCCTCTTTATACATATACATATTTATGTGTATATATATATATATATATATATATATATATATATGTGTGTATCCCTTTGTTTTTCTCTCTCTCTCTCTCTTTCTCTCTCTCTCTCTCTCTCTCTCTCCGTCTACGAATCCTGGGGCCCTGCGCTGGGGGCGCGACAGCGCAAGGCGGGACCGGGGGGCTCAGAGGTGCTGCAGAGGCCCTCCGAGATCCGGGGTCTCTTCCGAGTCGCCGGGAAATCATTCCCGCACAGTCGTGGTTGTCTCCAAATGGCCCACCACGCTGCCCAGGCGCTCCACGAAGGCTTCCGGGCTTAAAACGCTCCCCCGACGCTCCTAGAGGGTTTCTAGACGGCCCCCACGAGGGCCCCAAGAGGCAACATGTCAGTGTTTTCCATCGGTTGTTGGTGGTTTTGTGGGTCTCCGCATTTTCGGCTTGCCGATGCTCCAAACTAGCCCCGGAAGCACCACCACCCACTTCAAGACGGTTTCAGGGGCAATTCACTGGGGCGCCCAGAGCATCCAGGAGGCCTGAAGCCGCTCCAAGACACTTCCAGTACAGCCCAGCAGGGCACCGAGTCGCGCCCGAGCCGCCAGAAAATCACTCCCCGACGCCCGCGGTCGCCTCCTGACGGCCCACCACGTTCATGAGGCGATCACGAAGGCCCCCAGACGGCCCAAACCGCTCCAAGAGGGTTCCTTGACGATCCCAAACACGGCCACAAGAAACAAAAGTAAGTAAGTTCCCTTGGGTTTTCGATGTTTTTGGAGGGTTTCCGCTTTTTCGGCTTGCCGACGCACCAACCCAACCCCAGAAGCACCACCACCCACTTCAAGACGGTTCCAGGGGCTCCCCTTAAGGGCGCTCAGAGCACCCGAGAGGCCCCAAAGCCGCCATAAGACACCTCCAGGACAGCCCAACAGGGCACCGATTCGCCTCCGAGTCGCCGGAAAATCAATCCCAGACGCCCGCGGGCGCCTCCTGACGGGAGCGGGGAGCGTAGGGCCACCACGCTCCCCGCTCCCAAGGCGCTCCAGGAAGGACCCCAGATGGCCCAAACCGCACCCCAGATGCTCCACCAGACGGCGCCCCCCCAAAAAACAGAACGCAGAATGAATGTGTTGTCTTAAGGTTGTGGAGGTCGATTAATGGAGAGGAAGCATGCGGCCAAATATTTTCCAGATGTCTACAAGATGTTTCAAACATGCTTTAAATAGGTGAAACCTTGTTTAGAATATGTTTCACACATGTTAGATACATCTTTAATTCAATGATAGGAGTGGTGTTGAAGTGTCCATTGTCATGGCATCCACAATCTTAAGGTGCTTTGAAGTTTTTAGGGGGATCCGCCTTCTCGGCTGGCCGACGCGCCATCCCAGCCCCGGTAGCGCCACCCGCCCGCTTCAAGACGGTTTCCGGGGCTCCCTCCTCCAAGGGCGCCCGCACTGCCCAAGAGGCCCAAAAGCCGCCCCAGGACGCTTCCAGGACAGCCCAGCAATGCGCCGAGTCGCCTCGGAGTCGCCGGACAATCATGCCCAGACGCACGTGGTCGCATGCAGATGGGCCACCACGCTCCCGAGGCGCTCCACGAAGGCTTCCAGACGGGCCCAGACCGCCCCCCAGACGCTCCACGAGGGTTCCCGGACGGCCCCCAAGAAGGCCCGAAAACGCAAAATTCATTTAAGGTTTTTGGGAGCTCCCGATTTTTCAAATCAGATGGTAGACAACAACCCACGAAGAATCAACGACAGCTCAAGACCGATCCGAGCCTCCGGACCGTAAAAACAGCCGACGTCGTCGTCGTCGTCGTCGTCGTCGTCGTCGTCGTCGTCGGCGTTCGGCGCGAGCAGGTCTCGCGGTGAGACCAGCGCCGGCGGCAGGCCGCGCGCGATGGAGCCAGGTTGCGGGGGGCGGCACGATGGCGCTCCCAGCTGAGGGCGCGTGGTGCTCGGGACGCGGCTGCTCTTGCGGGAGTCCACCGGGCGGAGCGCGAGGGGCCACGCAGCTCCTCGGCGCTCTCCTGCACACGAAGGAGCAGCGCGGCGTATGCCGAGGCCGGCCTGAGAGCCCGAGCCCGAGCCCGCGGCCGAGAGGCTGCAGCGGGCTGCTGGAGGCGCGGAGGCGGGCCAGCGGATCCTCGCCACAGCTCCGCGGCGCGCACGCGGAGGGCGAGGGCGCAGGCCTCTCCAGCGGCTAGCAGGCGGAGGGCCGGCAGAGGGACGGCACCAGCGGCGAGGTCGCGGAGGACGGCTTCGACGGGAGGGGCGAGGCGAGCTGCAGGCGTAAGAGACGCGCGCCACGGCAGCCAGCGGCGGCGGCGGCGGCACCCACAGCGGTGGGCACATGACAAGTCGTGCAGCGCAGCAAGGGGCCTTGGCGCTGGGAGGCTGCCCAGGCGCTGGCCGGCGGCGTGGCGGAGGCAGGGGTGGCGGAGGAGACCGAGAGGCCCAAGCGGAGCGATGCGGCATGCGTGGTGCAGAAGTGCACGCGCGGCTGGCTAGGGAGGCCGCGAGTGGTGGCGGCGCACGAGTTCGTGGAGCTGCAGGCGGAGGTGGACCGTGAGGTGGCCGAGACCGAGGTCGGGTCGGCGGAGGGCGCGAACGGCGCGGCATTAGGAAGCAGCTGAAAGGGGGCGAGCGTGCGGGTGAAGAGCGCAGTGGCGCTCCCCATGGCACGAGCGCGGTCGAAGACGGCCGACGTGACGGCGGCAAACGCGCAGGCGGCGGCCGAGAAGCTGCAGGTGCAGCACGAGAGCTGCCTGGCGGACGGCTCTCGGCCCGCGGGGGCGCTCGACGGGCAGTCGGACGCGCTGCTCCGCGGCAAGAGGAAGTGGAAGCTGAAGCAGTGGCAGGCGGCCCAGGAGGGGAGGGAGCGCGTCCGCTGCGCCCTGAACTTGGGGGGGTCTGCAGGGCGGTAAGCTCTAGGGCGGCGGGGCTCGGCGGCCTCGACGGCGGGACGGGGCACGTCGACCTGGAGAAGGGGTTCGGCGCCGAGGTCCTGCGCCGCCTCGAGGCAGTGGTGGACGCGCAGAGCCGAAAGGGGCGGCGGCTTGGCGAAGCATGCCAGGTCATCGAGGAGTGGGCCGAGGAGATCCACGAGGGCAAGGGCTTGGGTGAGGCCGTGAAGGACGTCGAGGCCGTTGCCGACGCGGGCGGGCGCGGGGCCCTGGTGGCAGGGTGGCTTGGCGCGCCTGGGCGGGGTGCGGAAGGACCTGCGCGGGCAGGCTGACGCTGAGCGGCGCGTGCGAAACCGCCACGCGCGTCGCTCGGGCCCGGGTGGGGCCACCCGTGCCGGCGTCAAAGTCCGTCAGAGCCCGTCGTCGCCGTCGCCGTCGCCGTCGCCGTCGTCGTCGTTGTCGTCGTCAGGTGTTTGACGTGTCCCGCCTCCCGGAGCCCTCCTGGAGGGTCAAAAATCCGAAAGACCTCGAACCTCGACGTTCGAACCTCGTCCCCCTCCGCACCTCGAGGCGTGCGACGGCTCCTGACGAGGGACCGGGGATGAGGAGGAGATGGGGGGGGAAGGAGGAGCGGTAGCAGGGGGGGACGGGAAAGATGATGAGAAGGAGAGGTAGCTGGAGAGAAGGAGGAGGCAACAGGAGGAGAACAGAGGAGGACATCGCGGCGGAGGAAAAGGAAAAAGGAGTAGGAGGAGGAACTGAGTGGGGGAGGAGCAGAGAATAGCAGGGAGGAGAAGGGAGGAGGCATCCACGAGGGCCCACATGGGCCACCCTAGGCCCCCCATATGCCCCCCAGAGGCCCCCGAGAGCGCTCCGAAAAGACCCCGGGGAGCATCCCAGAGGACTCTGACCCACAATCCAAGCACGGTGGCGGGATGGGCCAGAAGCCTTTCGATATCCCTCTTTTGGTGTGTATGTATGTTTACATGTGTACAAGTGCTCGCGTACACACATAATTGTGTGTATGTATGTGTGTATGTGTAAGTATGTATGTATGTACGCACGTACGTACGTATGTATGTATGTATGTATGTATGTATGTATGTATGTATGTACGTATATGTATGTATGTATGTGTGTATGTATGTATGTATGTATGTATGTATGTATGTACATATGTATGTATGTATGTATGTATGTATGTATGTATGTATGTATGTATGTATGTATGTATGTGTGAGTGTGTGTATGTATGTATGTATGTACGTATGGATGGATGGATGGATGGATGGATGGATGTACATGTATGTGTGTTTATATATATAGGTGTGTATATAGTTATGCAGTTGTGTGAATATGTAGATATGTATGTATGTGTGTATGTATGTATGCATGTATGCATGCATGTATGCATGCTTGTATGATTGTCTGAATGCATGTATGGATGCATGCGTGCATGTATGCATGTTTGTACGTATGTATGTATGCATTTATGTATGCATGCATGCATGTATGTGGGTATGTGTGTACGGATGCATGCACGCATGTATGCATGTATGTATGTGTGAATGCATGTATGGATGTGTGCATGTATGTATGTATGTATGTATGTATGTAGGTAGGCAGGCAGGTAGGTAGGTAGGTAGGTAGGTATGAATACATTTAAACATGTGTATGCACACCAAATGTACATATGTGTGTGCTAGAACCACGCGCGCTCATGGTCTAGTCGTAGATAGGCCATGACCCTCGTGTTCGCTCGTGTCATTGGCGACGCTGCGAATCTCTCCGCATGTGGGTGTTGTGGAGCCTCCGCCCGCGGCGGGCTGGGAGGGCAGCGCGGCACGCGAGCAGCTCCTCGGCGATATAGAGGGGCACTGCAGGGAGCAAGGGAGGGATTGGGAAAGGGAGGGAGCCCCGCCGCGGGGCGCCTTCCCCGAGACCCTGAGATCCGACGCTGCGGAAAACGTGAAACATCGCGAAGAGTCACGGCCGGAGCCCTGGACCCCATCTCTCTGCCGATGCCCTTCGAGCCGGAGCCGTGTATGATGGCCTTGGGGCCCGAAGCCTAGCTAAATTTCCCGAGACCCTGAGATCCGACGCTGCGGAAAACGTGAAACATCGCGAAGAGTCACGGCCAGAGCCCTGGACCCCATCTCTCTGCCGATGCCCTTCGAGCCGGAGCCGTGTATGATGGCCTTGGGGCCCGAAGCCTAGCCAGAGCGCCCGGTGTGGAGAGGAAGGCAACGCCAGGGTCTCAGGCTGCGTGGGCGCCTCCGCGGGCGGGGGGGCGCCGGGAAGACCAGCCACGTGAGCTGACTGACTGCAGCATCCCGTCTCGTCCGCCCGTCCCGGCCGAGGTGGAGAGGCGGAGCAGCGCCCAGGAGCGCCGCCTATCGGGGCACGGGGGGCGCCTGCCCCTCCGAGAGGATCTTGGCATCGCTCGGACGTGTGTGCGTTTTTGTTCTCGGCAATGACCATCGAAGAGCATCTTTGTTCACCCTGCGACAACTTGCGCGCACGAGGCCGAAGCATGCACAGGGAGTGGACGTCCGAGCGATGGCGAGTGATGGGGTGCGAAATGTGCGGAATGTGGCGGGTGGCGGGCTTCGAGGTTCGAGGTGTTCGAGAGTTTTCTTCGGGCTGCCTTCCAGCAGCTGCGCCTCGCCGAGAGCGTTCCTGGGGTGCCCGGGTCATCCCGAACGGCCGCTGGAGAGCCGAGTTCTGACCCGACGAAAACCAGTGGGCAACGTTAGGGGGGGATAGGGTCAGGGGGGATGCATCGACCCCCAATCCCCCATTCATCTCCGATAGGGGCCCGATAGACCCCACCTGCCCAGGATCGTGCGGAGTCGTTATCGGCGACTTATCGCCGATCTGTTGGCGACGTATCGCCGAGTCAAGCTAGATGTTTCCCCCACGGCAGTCCCACATGATCGTTGCCCCATCAGAGGAGGGGGAACAGTGGGGGGCAGGCGCGAAGGAAGAGGAGCACGAATGAGTTCTTCCACACTGCTCGGGGAGAGGATAGTCTAGCAGAGAGCGTTGCGGAGCAACGGGGGGGCACAGGGCTTGAGAGTTTTGGGCCCGGAAGTTCTGCTTCGAGGCATCATGCCCGAAGGATGGGCCTGAAAGCTTCAAGCCCGTCTCCCTTGAAAGTTAGGCACGAAGCTGCCAGGCCCAGCGCAGAAGGTTTGAATAACTAGCGGTTCGTCTATCAGAGGGCGAGCCATGCTTAGCAATGTGTAAGTTGTCTCGGGAAATATGTTTGGGGAGGGCCTCCTCTTTCAGAGGGGGCTGCGCGGCGTACTGGGCCTCTGTAACAGCAGGGGCATGTACGCGTTTGTTTTTTCAGAGAAGACTGGGGGAAGGGCTCATCTCGCAGAGGGTACTGCGCAGCAAAGAGGGAGACACCTGTCTGATCAGGGGCGTGTTTTGCACAAGCGCACATACTTCAATCAGCATTGGGAAACTCGTCTGGCATTAGGTGCTGACAGCAGCGGGGCTTGTACGCCAGGAGTGGCACCTCTTGAATCGGCTATGAGAGGGACTCGTGCAGCAAAAAATGCTGCCAAGCTGAGGGGGCGGTGTAGCAGCGTTGGAACGTACACTACCCGTGAGCTTGCAATGTCGTCATTTTGGAGAGGGGCTTGTCGAACAGAGCGCGCTGCGCAGCAAAGGGAGCTTCAGTAGAAGCACGGGCATGAAGAGTACATGTGAGTTGATCCCCAAACAGAGCTTGCACTTAAGGGGTCTTGCTTCTTACAAAGGAACTGGGCCAGTTTGGCAGTTTGGCGGCTATGTTGTCGCCGTCGCCGCCCCGTCGCCGCTTCTTCGCCGCCCGTCGTCTGGGTCTGTCTGGCGGTCTGGCGGCTATGTTGTCGCCGTCGCCACGCCGTCGCCGACGCCGCCTCGTCGCCGCCCGTCGTCTGGACCTGGCTGGCGGTCTGGCGGCTATGTTGTCGACGTCGCCGCGCCGTCCCGTCGCCGCCGCCCAGTTGCACAACAGATGTTGCACCACATAGATTACATCACGTCGATTGCGCCACACAGGTGCGCACCACATATACTACACAACATCGATCGCATAACAAAGACTCCACAACCTAGATGGTACCACGCATGTTGCACCACATGGTGTGCTCCACGCATGTTGGTCCACATTGGTTGCACAACAGGTATTGCACCACAGAGTTTGCCTCACGTAGGTTGCCCCACATAGAGTGCACAACCTATACTGGCCCACATGGATTGCACAATATGTCCATGTATGCATACAGATGTCTATATGTTGCACCATTCCCTTTGCCCCAGATAGATTTCACAACTGAGACTGCACAACCTAGGTTGCAACAAACAGATTGCAGCACATAGATTGCCCACAGCGGTTGCAAAGCATATATCGCTAGGAACATACTGTTTGGGGTCCACGTTGGCTGGCTTTTCTTGTTCAAACAACGTTGTAGCAACGTGGATCACCACAGGGATCGTTCTGGGGAGGCAGGAAGAGAAGGAAGAGGAGGAGGAGGAGGAAGAGGAGGAGGGGAAGGAGTAGGAGGAGGAGGAGAAGGAGGGAGGAGGGAAGGCGGATGAGAAGGAGGGACGAGGCAGAGGGACGAGGCAGAGGGAGGAGGGAGGGAGGAAGGAGGAGGGGGGACGAGGGAGGGGGGAGGGAGGGAGAGAGGGAGGGAGGGAGGGATAAAGGAGGACGGAGGGGAGGGAGGGGGAGGGAAGAGGGATGGAAGAGGGAAGGAGGGAGGAGCGAGGAGGGACGAGGAGGCTTGCTGGCGCCGCCCCTCCCGCACCCCCAGTACTTCCAGAAAAGCAGCTTCGAGGCCGAGTGCGGCGAGAAGTGGGGCCTCCGTTAATCAGTCAGTGAGAGTGTACAGCGAAGACGGTCACCACGACGGTCACAACGACGACAACGACGACGGCGACGACGACGATCACGACGACGAGCACGACGACCATCCGAGTGCGGCGAGAATTGGGGCCTCCATGAATCAGTCAGAGTGTACAGCGAAGACGGTCACCACGACGGTCACAACGACGACGGCGACGATGACGACAACAACGGCGATCACGACGACGAGCACGACGACCATCACGACGACGACGGACTCCTGCGGATCCGGTGACGACGGTGACGGCAAACACGGCGACGTGGACGGCGGGGGCGACGACTACGACTGCAAATCTGAGGTTGGCATCGAAGGAGGACGACCACGAGCATGACGCAATGGACGTAAAAGGCATTGGCTAGAAGGGGGGAGGGAGGGAGGGAGGGGGCGAAAGAAGCAGCAGGAAAAGGGAGATTGGATGAACTTCGGAGGAGCAAGGAGGAAGGCGACAGGATGAGGAAGGACGAAGGCTGCCGCACGAAGGACGAGGGAGGGAGGGGGAGGACGGGGAACGACAAAGGTGGAAGTCAGAGGAGGAGGAGGAGGAGGAGGAGGAGGAGGAGGACCAGTGTAAACCCAAGAAGAGTCATCAGCGATGTTGGAATACACCCTCCCTCCAAGCTCCCTCTTCATAGGCCCCTACAACGGTTCATTTCCATTGGGGGAAGTGCCTCGTTGGAAAACAACCGTTTGAAGACCCTGACGCATGCCAACAAATTGTTTTCGGGATTCCGACGCCACAGATCATCTTGATTGTTGCGTCCGGACGATCCTGAATCGTGCCAGAACGCTAGTCCTGGGACTTCAACACCGCGAACCAATGTAACTGCTGCACCCGCATAGTCTTGAACCCTCCCAATACACAATTTCTGGTACGTTGATCATAGGAACCTGTGGAACTCTTGCAAATGTTATAAATGAATGTGCGTGGCGTTACGGCGAGAGCCACATATTGAAAAGGAGCCGCCCTCAATCCGTGAAGCTCTTTCAATTTGTTAAGACGAATGCGCGCAGCGCTAATACCACATGTTGAGAACGGGTCGCCCTCAATCCGTGAAATTCTTTCAACTGTGTAAGACGAATGTGCGCGGCGCTAAGGCGAGAGCCACAATTTGAGAACGGGTCACAACTCTTGCAATTGGTTCAAGCGAATGTGCGCGGCGCTGAGGCGAGAGCCACATCTTGAAAACGAATCGCCCTCAATCCGTGAAACTCTTGCAAAGTTTGAAATACGAATGTGCGCGGCGCTAAGGCAAGAGCCACATGTTGAACACTGCCCGGCTTCCATCTGTGAAACTGTTGTCAATGTTTGAGATTCAGTGTCATAAATGGTAAGGGAGTCTCAGGTGAAACGCCCGGCCCGCCCTAAAAACTGGCCTCGGGGTGCGACAGGGAGAAGTTAGTTATAAGGAAAAGGAATGGAGGAGGAGGAGGAGGAGGAGGAGGAGGAGGAGGAGGCGGATGAGGAGGAGGAGGCGGAGGAGGAGGAGGAGGACGAGGATAAATCCGTTCCAGAGCGTTCCTGAATGCTCTGAGAAGGCCGCGGGCTCCCGAGGCATCCTCCAGAGCCACTGTATCTCAGAGATTCTCGATTGATCCGTGCCCAATGTGTCAGGAGGGGAAAAACACTCAGACACAATGAATCGTCGACTCCAAGGAAAATATTGGAAAATATGGACCGTGGGGGGCAAGACGAAAACCCGAGAAAGATGGGAAAAGATGGGGAATCCTGGGATTTGTGTCTAGCTGTGTGTGTGTGTGTGTCCTTGGGCCCCTTCAATGTGATCCTCGTTCCAGCTCCGTCTCGAGAGGGGGTCGGCCTCCCAGGAGAGGGTCCCCAAGCGGGTGTGCGCACGGTCCTCGGGGGCGGCCGTGCGGTTGGCTTTGGGCGTCGCCGCGCGGGGGAGGGGCCGCCGTGGACCTCCGAGGGAGAGCGGGCGAGGGCGGAGGGAGGAGGTCGGCCGCCCCCCGTCTCCTCCTCCTCCTCCTCCTCCTCCTCCTCCTCCTCCTCCTCCTCCTCCTCCTCCTCCTCCTCCTCCTCCTCCTCCTCCTCCTCCTCCTCCTCCTCCTCCTCCTCCTCCTCCCCCTCGTCCCTGTCCCCTCCGCCCACCGCCCGGGCCGCCCGCGCTATCGCGCTGCTATCGTTTTTCTCCCCTGTCTTCCCCGGCCTGGGCCAGGGGACGCCGCCCGCAGGCCGGCGGGGGTGCACAGCACTGTCCAGAGAGGATTGCGCCCTTCCACGCCTGACCCCGGTGGCCACCCATCCTAGAGAGGGATGGGTGCCGGGGCCGCGGTTGCGGGAGGAGGTCGGAGTCCCAGTCAGGGGCGCCCAGCTGCGGCGCTGAGCGACGTCGATGCTGGACAGGACCAGGGCCGCCGCCCTCGCGCAAGGAGGAGGGAGGAGGTCGGTCGGACGCGGCCCGGCGGCATCCGTGCGCATCATGTCCACGAGCGTGTCTCTGCAGCCCTTCCAGGTTTTCTGGCACAGGTGCACGGGTGGCGTGTCCGCGACCTGGTTGCTGCCACATAGCTACGCAGCGCTTCGTGCCTTCAAGTCGCTGCTGGCGCAGAAGAGCCGATTCGCGTGGGAGCCTCGCTGCCCAAGGCCACGGCGCGAACGGGGTGCGCGGCACTGCCCGCCCGCCCTCTCCCCCCCGAAAAGAAGGGGGCGCCGCGACGTGCGCCCGCATGCGGCCAAAGGCCAGGCAACCGACGGAGTGGGCGGAACGGCGCAGGGCAGGACGCCACGCAAAGATTGCGCAGTGCCGAGCTGCTCGAGAGGCGAAAAGAAGGGGGCGCCCAGCCGTGACGTGAGCCCGCATGCGGCCAAAAGCCAGGAAACCCGACGGAGTGGGCGGAACGGCGCAGGTCAGGACGCCACGAAAATCGGGGCGGACGAAAGGGGGGAATTGGGAAAGGGGGGTCTACGAAGTTTGCTGCATGCAGCTGGTTTTGGCCCTACCGAGGGGCCCATTCCTCGATACATAGCTGCCTCCCGGCGCCTGTAGGCGCCAGGAAAATCAGCTACGTGAGCTGATTCTCACCCCCCCCCTTTGCTATCCCCCTCTTTCACCCGACCCGAGAAAAGACAGCGCAGTGCCGAGCTGACCTGACGCCTGGCAAGGTGCAGCGGCCAGGCATCGAGGGGCTGCGGAGTCCCAGCTGCCGGGAGGAGACGAACCAGGCTGCCAGGGCGTGGGCCCAGGCTGCCAGGAACAGTCGGACACGCCAAAAAAGTGCTCCAGATCCAGGGAAAGACCAGGGACGGGGCATCACAAGGCCCCGCTTGGGGGGTCGCGTGCGTGCGGTGCGGGTGCTGAGCGCCGCGGTGGCAGCGGCTGGCCAGCCGGCCGTGCGACGGCTGGGCCCCACCGCTGCCGCCGCGGCTGGCCATGCTGCTCCTGCTGCCTGCGGTGCGCGCGGGCGGGGACGAGCCACATCAGCAGGACTCCTGCAGAGGCGGCCCGCTGCGCACCCGGGACTCCCAGAGTGAAGCGGCGCGGGGCCGCGCGGGGCGTCGCCCCGTCGTTCCCCTTCTCCCCCTCTTCCCTTCGTCGTCCTCGTCGTCTGCGCGGGCGTCCCTTCACCTTACAGCTGGGTTCCCTCGCTCTGGCAGAAGTGAACCAAGGCTGCCGAGACCAACCAGCCCGTCATGGAAACGCTCCAGATGCCGATCTAAACCCGGCACTATGAATCAGAGTTGCTTGTTGGGGTGTAAGTTGCCATGTTAAAGTTGTCAAATATGCAACCGAGTTTCCGTGAACGAAGACATTGCCGAAGTGTGGAAGCAAGTTGCCAAGGCATCAAGCTCTCAAGGAGAACGAGTTGTCAAAACAAGTCCGAGTTGCAAGGATGAGGCGCGTCGACAAAGTGATATCATAGCAGCCGAGGAAAGTAACCCAAGTCGCCATCAGACAGGCCAGACTGCCAAGACAATCCATCGAGTCTGGACGTACAGGTTACGTCGTAACCTCCAAGCTGCCATGGGAGCAAGCCGCCTAGATGATGTGGCAACTTGCACATGGGAACTTAAGCTGCCAAGAGAGCAACCAAGCTGCCTAGATAAACCATCGGGTTGCACAGAACGCTGGCTGCTAAGACAAAAGTCAAGGCTCTCATGGCGCCGTAAGCAACCAAACGAAGTTCTCAATGGCCATGGGAAGCTACCCGAGCCATCTGGGACAAATTGCGGAGATAACACCAAGCGGCCACGATAAACAAGCGTGTTGCTTCAGACCTCTGGGTTCCAATCATCCAGCCCCAAGAAGCCTGCCATTAAAGCCAATGAAGCTTCCCAGACAGGTGCACCAAATTACCGACAATAGAGAACGAAACCGAGCTGCCAAACGAAAGCCGAGCCGTCGAGCTAGGCGATCATGACTGCCGAGTTGTTACTCCAAGCTGTGACTGGTAGACTTCTCTTCCATTCACAACTCTTCGTCGCACGACTCGACGCGTCGGTATTGCAGGCCAGGCGTTTCGCTTGATACCCGCACACTACATGAACTAGAGTGTAAACCTTACCATTGCTTCAGGGTTGGATGGCCAGCGGCTGCTTAAAGGAATCGTATCGTGTCAGCGCCGCGCGCGCGCCTGCCTCAAGATTTCCAGCAGAGTTGCACGGATACAAGGATGGTCATGTTCAATGCGTGGGTTTGGCTTCAGTTTCATTCACATCAGCCGTAAAATTTCCAGCGGCGACGCTTAAGTGGGACCGCTATGCTTTCAAAGTGAAAGTATCGGTTCGAACGCATAACTTGAGTGTGGCGCGGGCTCAACAATCTCCGATACCCATAAGGGCGAGGGGCATCTATCAGTACGGAACGGTACAGCCGTCTGGGGCACCACCACATAGTGCCACATGATGTTTTAACAGTTGCCATGGCTGTGTGTCCAAAGTGGTTGGTTGATCGGCACGCGCTTGAATCCTATTATGCTGCGAGGTGAAGTCCCAAGACGATTAGTCACAACCATGGAGATATCACAAATGGGGTTCCCGTCTGACTTGCCAGCCAATGGGGTGTCCATCCTTAAGGGGGTGGCGCCCGCCGCCGATAAAAACGATGTTTGAAGGTACAGGTGGGGAGGGAATTCGGGACGCGCGGGTGTGTTGCCACATCGCTGGTGTCTCGTGAGTTGATATTGGTCTTGCTCCCCCTCCCGCCCCATCCTTCTCCCCCTCGTCCTTCCTGCTCCCCATCCTCTTCCTGACCCTCGTTCTCCAATCATCATTGTCCCCCTACTCCTGTTCTTTATCCTCAGGTTCTTCTTCTCTTCCTCACTACCCCCCCATCCCCCCTATCGCCCGTAGATGCGCAGCGGGTTGTTGGTGCTGCGAGTTTGGCGGTCCACGCTTATTGCAGACATCGGGGTTCCGCATTCAGGGTACGCCCAATCTCCCCGGTCATCCCCCTTGAAAGTAGACGGTTGGATTTGGTATGGCGCGCGTGGTGGCCAGACTTTCGATGGGAGCCCGACCGTGGTAACGGACCGCCTCCCAGGACCTCGATGAGAGTTTGGCCTTGCGAATTGCCAAAAACGGTTCGAAACCTCAAACTGCGATATTCGTCTTGTTACGCTTCCGTCTACCCCTTCTCCGCAGTCCCCCTCCTTCCTCAAGCATCCATATTCCTCCCTCTTCCTCCTGCTCCTCCAGCTCTTCCTCTACCTTCAGAGATCGGCCCCCAGGCCTGTCCCCAAGTGTGTGATGTCAAGAACTCCAATTGGAACCCAGCAATGGCGGTGGAAAGTTTCCTGGAGGGCCGAACAGGGCGAAGACCGAAGAAAACGTCGATCCTCGAAGGCCTCGTTATTCGGTTTGGTCCCCCCCTTCGCTTCCCTCCTCCTCCCGCCGCCCGAGCACAATGAGCGGGAGCCAGCAGACACCACCATAGATTCTCAGACCGCCTCTCTTTCCTCTTTCTCCTCATCATCCCCCCCCCTCCTCCTCCTCCTCCTCCTCCTCCTCCTCCTCCTCCTCCTCCTCCTCCTCCTGCTTCTCCTCCTCCCCCTCCTCCTCCTCCTCCTCCTCCTCGCACCTCTCCTCCTCCTCCTCCTCCTCCTCCTCCTCGCATCCTCCTCCCTCCTCCTCCCTCATCCTCCTCCTCCTCCTCCTCATCATCATCATCACCATCACCATCATCATCATCATCATCCTCCTCCTTCTCCTCCTCCTCATCATCATCATCAGCATCATCATCATCATCGCACCTCCTCCTCCTCCTCCTCCTTCTCCTCCTCCGCCTCCTCCTCCTCTTCCTCATCATGTTCCTCCTGCTCTTCCTCCTCCTCCTCATCATGTTCCACCTCATCATCTTCCTTTTCCACCTCCTCCTTCTCCTCCCTCCCCCGTTCCTCACTCTCCTTCCTCCCTCCTCCTCCCCTTCCTCCCTCCTCGTCCTCCTCCTCCTCCTCCTCCACCTCCTCCTCCCTCCCTCCCTCCCTCCCTCAGTCCCTCCCCCTCTCCCTCCCTCCCTCCCTCCCCTCCCTCCCTCCCCCCTCCCCCCGAGGCCGCCGCGAGAAGCGGGACCGCCATGGACCTCGTCCGCGGCGCGCAGGCCAGCGGGAGGGTCGGCGCCTCGCTCCCCCGCGGGCCCAGGGCGGCGTATCCGAGGGAGGGGGGAGGATAAGCTAGGTGCGCTCGCGTCATATCGGACATCCTACCCCTCCCTCCCATCCCTTACCATGGCGTAGATCCCCTCTCTACTCGCACAGTCGGATGTCGAGCAGGGCAATGATCCCGAAAGGGTACGCGATGCACTGTAGAGCACGGCATGGCGTGGCGTAGAAGAGCACCGCAAAGCGTAGTATGTCACAGCATGCCGTGGCGTGGCGTAGTGACGAATTGCATCACAAAGGTTTGCAACGCAAAGCATGGCATCGCACAGCGGCCCCGAACATAATATTGCATAGCATGGCGTTGAAGATCAAAGCGTAGCATGGCATAGCATGACGTGGCACTTAAGCACTGGATATGACAGCTGCAGCTGAAGGCATGGCATCGCGCAGCGGAACGCAACCTAACATTGCATTGCATGGCGTGGCATGGCACGGGAAATGACGCCAGCGCTGCAGCGGGAGCACGATTCGGAACGAGCGGAAGCGCGGAAATGAGGCCAGCGCTGCAGCGGGAGCACGATTCGGAACGAGCGGAAGCACGGAAGTGAGGCTAGCGCTGCAGCGGGAGCACGATTCGGAACGAGCGGAAGCCCGAAAATGAAGCCCGCGCTTCAGCGAGAGCATCATTTTGAGAAAAAACAAAAAAAAACTCCGGGAAATCCTGAGTGTAACAAAACAGTACGCGGAGGGGTGCCCGCTATCTTCCGCACGCCATCAGGGGATGGAGGAGAGTAGTATTCACATTGTGCAATTGTGGAAGAGGAGGAGGAGGAGGGAGGGAGGGAGGGAGGGAGGGAGGGAGGAGCAGGAGGAGGGAGGAGGGAGGAGGGAGGAGGGAGGAGGGAGGAGGAGGGAGGAGGAGGGAGGAGGAGGAGGAGGTGGAGGAGGAGGAGGAGGAGGAGGGCGGAGGAGGAGGAGGAGGAGGAGTAGCCGGGGAAGGGGAGGGAGGGAGAGAGAGAAAGGGAGAAGGCAGGAGGGCTGTGGGCTTGAGGAGGGGTGGGGGGATTGAGTCGTCTCTCGTCTTGCCTCCGGCTGCTCTTGAACGGGCTGCCGGTGGCGATTGTCGTGGTGTCGCCGAGAGCTCCGGCTGTCCATCAATAGCAGGGCTCCCACAGCATTGCACGCACACGCGAGCTGGATTGTCGTCCTTAGCAGGGCGTTCGAGACATCTACTTGGCCCCAGTCTGAGCTCCCGCTGTTCGGGAGTTTTCCAGGAAACTTAGACTGCATGCAGATCCTAGGGAGCAGGGTCTTTGTTGGAGGCGGTCTCGCACGGTCCCGCTAACACGGCCCAGACCCACCCCTAGAGAAATTCGACCAGCTCGTGCACTGCCTTACGCGACGCTAGGTTGCTGTGAACTCAGTCGCTGGCAACATCAATACTGGACATTATTAGGGGCAGCCTCGACCAAGCCGCCTCTAGGTCAACATGATTTTGGACGTCGTTGTTTGCTATTATGAAAACAAGGTGCTGGACGAAAAAAGAGCTTGCCTGCAGGAGGAGGGACAGGAGTCGGAGCGGTTCTCGGGAATCGAGGTTCCTGGAACTCGTCAGTTGGCCTACCAACAGGATGGTTTCGAGTCCACCTCTCGTCAGTTGTGCCTCTAGGCATAGGACCCGCGCAGCGACATGAGTTGCGCTCCACCGGCTCCACATACACACCTCTCGAAGCCAATTCAGCCGCAATCTCGGCGTTCTCGGTGTTATGGGCCTGCATCTGTTCATCGGCCATTGGCGGCAGGGCGGCAAGTAACGCTGGCAAGAAACACCTAGAGGACCCTCATCTTAAATGGTTGAGCAACCTCACGTTCGTAAAGCAACTCTTTGTCGCATGCTTGGCAGGACGTGACAGCTTCAACCGCACGGGCAGTATCAAACGACACGCGGTTCTTGGTTCTGTGCGCCGCCGCCCACGTGTACACTTGTTCAAGCATGAGATCGCATCCAGCGCACACATGAACTGGGTAAATTGGGAGATCGCTGCAGGTGGGAGGGGAGCAACACCAGGAATATTACATTGGTGATCGCGTTGTTATTCATTGTGTTTCCGATCGGCGCGGGCCCTCGCACCCCCCTCTCCCCCCCGCACGGAGTAGAGCCAGCGAGTGTTATGTCAATTCCAACTTTTTTGGTCATAACATTTGCTGTGCAATCCCCCAGCACTCCAAGACTGCAACTTCCAACATGTGGCCCATGAAGGACAGCAGTCCTGTGGTTAAAATGCGCCGCCCTGAAGGCGACCAGCAAACGCTTCGGGCCGGCGTACAATATTTGGACATGCCTGCGTGCTAACACGGGCAATCCACGGCTCGCACCCAAGATTCCCTTTCGCGTTTCCCTAGGAGTAAATCTCGCACCCGTGCGCTAGCCTCGCTCCCTCGGGGTTTATGGCCTCTTGGGGCCCCAACTATCAAAATTGCAGCCTCCCTAATGTGGGCAAGATGTGTATCCATACCCACTGCGTCTTGGAGTATCGGCTCTCTTCTCCAGAAGCCGGGGGCACTTTGGATATGTATAATGAGTTGGCCCGTTTTGAGGCTACATTTGTATTCATATCCATTGCGCTTCGGCCTTGTGGCGCCCCTTCTCAGAAGAGTCCAAGACGCAGTGGCTATGGATGCAAATCACGCCCGCATCTAACAGTGTCCTGAGGTGCGGTTCCTAGGCCCTGCATGTGTGGGAGGTTCAGCTAGCCTTTTTGCCCACATCTCTACGAGCAGGCCAACACATGAAATGCTTTAGATCTCTATCTTGCGCCGACAATGCGTTGTCGAAGCAAGCGCAAAGTCAAGTATCATGTCTTTGCTTGCCTTACTTACCGCAACGGGATTCGGCTCGTCGGAGGCACGTTGGAGCTCCAATTATCTTCGAAATCACCATCGACGAGGTCTGAATACCGTGCACGAGCATCGCCAGAGAGGGCATGGATCCAATCCAATTGCATGGAGGCCCTGAACTTAAGGCCTTCGCAAAAAGCGGGAGAGGTCTGAGGGCACGAGTGGGCTGGTCCGTGCTGAAGAAGGCACCGCAAGCGCAGCAAAAATCGGGAGGAGGAGGACCAGTGGAAACCCAAGAGTCATCAACGATGTTAGAACTAACCCTCCCTCCAAGCTCACACTTCAGAGGCCCTTACAACGGTTCATTTCCATTGAGGGAACTGCCTCGCTGGAAGACAACAGCTTGGGGATCCTGAAGCGTACCAAAACATTGTTCTCTGGATTTCAACGCCACGTATCAACCTGATTGCTGCGCCTTGACGATCCAAAATCGTGCCATAACGCCATTTTGGGGACTTCAATAAAGCGGATCAACATAACTGCTGCGCCCGCATAATCCCGAATTCTTGCAAAACGCCATTTCTGGTGCGGTTATCATGGGAATCCGTGAAACTGCTGCAAAGTTTAAAAACGAATGTGCGCGGCGCTGAAGGGAGCGCTGAAGGAAACCCTTGCAACTGCTTTAAACGAATGTGCGCGGCGCTAAGGCGAGAGCCACATTTTGAAAACGATCCGCCCTCAATCCGCGAAACTCTTGCAATTTGTTTTGAACGACTGTGCGCGGTGCTAAGGCGAGAGCCATATTTTGAAAATGACCCGCCTTCAATCCGTGAAAGTCTTGCAATTGTTTTGAACGAATGTACACGTCGCTCAGGCGAGAGCCACATTTTGAAAACGACCCGCCCTCAATCGGTGAAACTCTTGCACTTGTTTTAAACGAATGCGCGCGGCGCTAAGGCGAGAGCCACATGTTGAAAACCACCCGCCCTCAACCCGTGAAACTCTTGCAATTGGTTTAAACGAATGTGCGCGGCGCTAAGGCGAGAGCCATATTTTGAAAGCGGCCCGCCTTCAATCCGTGAAACTCTTGTCACTTCTAATGCTTCAGAATCATAAATGATGAAGAAGTCTCAGGCGACATCCCCCGGCTGCCCTAAAAACTGGCCTCGGGGTGCGACAGGGAGGATTTATCTATAAGGAGAGCGAATGGAGGAGGAGGAGGAGGAGGAGGATGTGGAGAAGGAGGAGGAGGAGGAGGAGGAGGAGGAGGAGGTGGAGGAGGAGGATGTGGAGGTGGAGGAGGAGGAGGAGGAGGAGGAGGTGGAGGAGGAGGAGGAGGAGGTCCTGTCCTCCGGGGGGGGGGGGGCAGGGAGCGGCAGCCGCCCGCAGGGCGCCTTCGACTCCACCGCTGGCCTGCAGGGCGTGATGTGCATCGGCGGCGGCGAGAGGTGGGCGCTTCGTTTGCTTTGTTTTTTTGTCCGGGCGGGGGCGGCGGAGGAAAAAGGACATGGAGGAGCGGTGGGAGGGAGAGGGAGCAAGAAGGAGATGAAGGAGCGGGAGGAAGGAGAGGGAGGAGGGAGCAGAGAGTCGGAGGAGGGAAAGGTACCCATGCCGCTACCCCACGCCTGCTTCCCCCTGTTTCGCCCTCCTGGAAGGCCCTCGTCGCCACCGCTGGATTCGCCTCGAAAAGTTGATCAGAACGCACCCCGGGAGAGGTCCGGAGAGGCGGTATCAGTACCTTGTGATTTCCCCAGAGAAGGGGTAGGCGAGAGGAGGAGACAGGAGGATCAGACGGGAGGAGGAGGAGGAGGAGGAGGAGGAGGAGGAGGAGGAGGAGGAGGAGGGCTGCACTTTCGGAGGCAGATTGGCCACTTCGATCGTGTCCTCCATGTGTGGGTGGTGGGGTCAGGGTTTCCTGTCGTCGTCTGTTCCCGCTGTGGCAAATTTGGGACTAAGCCTTTAGGCTGGCGTCTGATGCCCCACGTGTTTCACCCAGGCTTGAAGTGGTGTGCCACTGGGCGATTTCATTACGCAGCGCTCATTTACATTGGGCTGATACCCACAGGGGTGTTCTGCATTCTATGGCCCACACTTTGAGCACCCGCATTGCCCGCAGGAGGGGCGGGGGAAGAGGTGAGTTGAGGGGGAGGGAGGAACAATGGCAGCGAGGAGCTGCAAGCTTTTTTCCTGGTCGCGTGAATGGAATCGACCTGCAGTCAGATACAGATGCCAGCGGTGAAGCAGAGGATCGGCACTGGGGGAAAGCAGAGTGGCAGTGGCAAGGCAGAGGGCAGGTTACACTGCAGCTCTGCTCGGGTTCCAACAAGCTCTGCTTTAAGCTCTGGGTGCTGGCTCGACCGGCCAAACATTTGGGGAAGGGTCTCGTGATGTGACGATTGTTCTGAAGCCCCTGATAGGGCTCGCTGGTCCATAGCAACTTCGGTCATGTCGTTGGCGAGCATCACTATGGCATCTATCCACTCCAGTGGCACCCACAGCTCGCTCTCCAACAACTCACGCAGCTTCAAGACATGCAAGGATAAGTAGTACTGTCTGATGGCACTTGAAAAATTACGCTAGCTGCAACAACATCACAGACTAAACCGAACGTGCACCCGGGCAAAGCTCAAGGTGTGGGAGCAGGCGTCCCGTCTCAAGGCCAGAAGCTTTGACGGCTTTGCAGCTCACGCGCCAGACATCATGAGCCAGAGCCTCTTGACGAGCCGGGGCCACGGGCTCTGCAGCCGGACAAGAGGATCAAGCGACGCGGCTCTCAAAGTCCGGAGGGGCTGAGCTGTCCCGGCACCAGCGACGCGGGCAGAGCGGCGGCGTGATCGGTTCCCCTCATAGCGCGTCGCTCGTCTCAGTATCGGGAGCTCGCGGGGCACGGCGTAGCATGGTATCGCGTAGCGTTGCATAGCATGGCATGCCGATCATATCTGTGCGTTGCGGAGTGTAGCACGCCACAGCAGTGCGTAGAGTGGCACCGCATAGCATTGCCTAGAAATGTTCTTGCGTTGCGTGCAGTAGCACAGCAATGCATATCGGAACAAGCAAGATCCAGACATAGACTTGCCGGCATGGCGCAAACATGCAGAGTGCATCAACGCAGCAGCGTACAGCCTCCGGCATTGTCCTTGGATGCCGTTTTCGCTGGAAATGTTTGGTGCGCCTTTCCGGGCGTGAACAGGCCAACGCGAATTTCTGTTTTGCCCATGATGGACCGTTGTGGTAATATGACATGTTCCAGGGCCTGGTGGAAATCATGTCGGGCTCGAGGTGTTCAGAGCCACGCTCAAGCACTACTGGCTTGCGTTCTAGCTGGACGGATGGTTCACACGCGTTGGCCCCTGGCAAACCAGTTGGCGATGCCTCTGTGACGAGTAGTTGTCAAGCCTTGAAGGCGGCATCTTGGTCGTTTGTTTATTCATTGTTTTGCCGATCGGCGCGGGCCCTCGCACTCCCCACTCCCCCCACCCCACCTGGAGTGGATCGTGGTTGTTGTTTGGCGCCCTTTTCGAGCGGGTGAAGTCTCCCCCATAGGGCGCACTGCTGCAAACAGTCGCACTAAGCAGAGGTCCGGAGGCAGACCCCCCCTCCCCCCCCGTTTCCGCCCAATGTCGAAATGCCGAATACAAAAAAACGCTTACATTGGGTTAATGTGCCGGCGATGTTCGACACGCGGCCGAAAGTCGGCCTACGGGTCACGCGAGCGGGCCTTTGGCCTGCGCACAGGAGGAAAGGGGTTCGAACAACACCCAAAAACATCATGTGTTCTGGGAGGGCCTGAACACAGCCAAGGATTGCACCACATAGGTTGTTCCACAGAGCTTGCACCACATAGGTTGCAGCACACAGATTGCTCCACATAGCCTACACCACAAAGATTGCACCACATATGTTGGCCGACAAAAAGAGTAAGAAATCAGTGTTAATGATGCACGCTGGCTAACAGATATCTGTATGTAAAGAGATTCTCGACCGAACTCGATACCTGCGTGTGAATAGATGCATCGATATACTTAGCTAATGGTCCCAACACCAAGCTATACATTGTATTCGTGTGCATCGATGTAGCCATCGACATAAGATAATCGTCTCATTGCCAACATACCGATCCAATTATCAATGTACCAGCCGATCGCCTACCAATCGGTCGCACGCTGTATCGACCGATCCCACTTTGACTCAAGCTACGGGTCTCACGATAGATTTATCAACAGTTCATCAAGATATCGGTCTCACTGTACGTCTGCCCCACTTTCTGCTAACCGAACCAACTATCTATCTTTCTGTCTACCTCACCAGATATCGGAACAGCCAACTGGACAACCATCGCGGGACGACCATCGTCTGGAACAACCATCCGGTCAACCATTTTTCGGGACAGCCATCGATCGGGACAACCACTTGCTGGGACAATTACCTGCCGGGACCACCAACGGGACAACCAACGAGCAAACCATCGGGACAGCCAACGGCAAAACCATCGGGGACACCCATCGGGACAACCATCGGGACAACCATCGGGACATCAATCGGGACAACCGTCGGGACAATCATCGGGACAACCAACGAGACAACTTGAGGGCAACTGTGGGTCAAGATCCCCACATTCGGCGACTCAGTTTGGCTTGATGTAGTTCTCACAGTTGCAGTACCTCGCGCAGCGATGCCATACCTCGCTCGCATGCGCGGGACACATGAAACGAAAGGATTCCCTGGTTGGGGTGTTTCAGGTTCCACTTCGGCATCACTTGCTCAACATACGATATTGAAAGTGACACCGATGGATAGTGAAGCGATAGATGGATCGATAGTGATATCGGCAGATGGGTACGTACTTGGATAGATGTCCCGTGGTTGTCCTGTGGTTGTCCCGTGCTTGCTCCGTGGTTGTCCCGCGTTTGTCCCGCGTTTGTCCCGCGGTGTTCCCGTCGTTGTCCCGTTGTTGTGTTGTCGTTGTCCTGTGGTTGTCGCATGGTTGCCCCGCGGTTGTCCCATGATTGTTCAGTGGTTGTCCCGCCTATAGGCAAAAATACAATGAGACGGGTGCATAGGTAATGCGATCGATCTCGAGATAATGAGATCGAGAGGTAGAGAGATCTAGCGATGTTTTGGTGTGGTTGCCTGATGTACAGTGTGGACCGGTAGATGGGTATATCAAGATCGATAGATTGAGAAATCGCGAATCCGACCCAACGCCAATCGCAAACCGAAAGCCCGACCCGTCCTTCCCGAAAGGTGGCCCTACAAACCATTTATAGATATGATTAGATAGTTGGGTTCCTCATCCTCCGCTCCCCAGTTCTCCAGCGCTCCTCATCCCTCGTCTCGCCCGTTCCCCTTCCACTATCCATCACCCCTTCTCCCTGGAGGGCTTCTCCGAAGGGCTTACGTAGGCGACCCGCTATCCTCCTCCTCCCTCCTCCTCCCTCCTCCCTCCTCCTCCTCCTCCTCCTCCTCCTCCTCCTCCTCCTCCTCCTCCTCCTCCTCCTCCTCCTCCATCTCCTCCTCCCCCTCCCCCTCCACCTCCTCCTCCTTGTCGGGTTGCCTACGGCCCCAGAGGAAACCGTGCACTTCCCCCCCCCCCCCTCTTCTGCACTCTCCGCCTCCCACCTTCCCCCTGGAGGCGCCCGCGGCAGAAGCAAAAAGCGGCGCCTAGCACTCTCCTGGAATTAGGTGCGGCATGGGCCCGGGCAGACAGGAGGAGTGAAAAGGGAGAGAAAGAGAGGGAAGAGGAGGAGGAGGAGGAGGAGGAGGAGGAGGAAGAAGGAAAAGGGTGGGAGGAGGAGGAGGAGGAGGAGGAGAAGAAAGGAGGGGGGAAAAAGGAGGAAGAGGAGAGAAAAGGGGAGATAGAAAGGGAGGGAGCAGCTGATGAAGACCCGGAGACGGCTGGAGTCACCGCTGAACGGAGCCCCTTTGCTTGTTCGATCTCTTGCTTCCCCTCTTCCTCCTCGCCCTCGCCCCCCCCCCCCCCCCGCGCGCACGGGGGGAGGCGGAGCGACAGGAGGAAGGGGCGGGACGGTCCAAGTTCGGGGATAAGGTCCATTCTCGTTCTGGTTGCAGACGTGAGCTCGGCGCTCCCTGGGTCCCTCGGCTGGTTTTTCTGCGGCGCTGCGCTGCGCAGTCCGGCGCAACTGAGGCAATACGGAGGTATTGTTCCTCACAGTCGAGGTTGATTAGTAGGTCGACCTTGCCAAATCGAAGGTATCCTTGTGTCTTGTGCCTCGCGACCCATGCTTCTACGTTCATATGGCAATATGGCCCTCCGAAGTGTCTCTTTTCCATAGTTCCCCATGTCAAGAATATGGCTGCCGACGATGTGGCTTGTTCAAGATCCAATCATTTGTCCTCGACTTCGGCCTCTGAGGCCCGTTCTCGGTCCACGGGACCATGAACAGTAGTCAAAAGGGAGGCTCGCTCCGCCCTTCTGTGGTTACCCCCCCCCGTCCTTGCATTGCCTCCGCCCAGTCTCGCTCTCCAGCCTTCGTCCTTTTGCATAACCCCCTGCCCTCCCAGTGAGGGGCGCCAAGATTGCGATCATTACGCGTACCGTCGATGCTCTGGGGCCGAAAGTATTGGCAGGGCCCCAGGTGTGAGAAAACGTGCGTCGATACGCACGAATGCGTCCCATTCCAATTTCCTGACGCCCTCCCACAAGCCAAAAGTTCTCCCCCATGCTGGCCCCTCCGTCATCCTGATAAGTATCCTTCATTCTTTCCTTACGCCCCCCACCCCCCCCAATACCTCGTTCCCGCTTCGTCGTCATCAGCTTTCTCTTCTCACATCCATCCTCCCAGTTTATCCCCTGTTTCCTTCCTTCCCCATCATATCTCCCTCAATGTTCCCCTTCATCTCCCCATCTTCGTCATCCTCCTCCTCTTGTTCCCTCCGTCTCCCCATCATCCTCCTGTTCCTAAGCGCCCTCTTCCTCAATCTCATCTTCCCCGTCCACCCCTTCTGCATTACGCCCTCCTCTCTCCTCGTCATGGGTTTCTTCCCTATCCTCCTCATCCTCCTTCTTCTCCTCCTCCTCCTCCTCCTCGTGTTTCTCCTCATTCTCCGCCTCCCCCTCTTCATTATCATTTCTCCTCCTCATCCTCCCCTCCGCCTCCTCCTCCTTCTCCCCCTCCTCCTCCCCCTCCTCATCATTCTCCTCATCCTCCTCCTCCTCCTCATCATCATCATCATCATCCTCATCTTCATCCTTATCCTCATCCTCATCCTCTCGCTCCCTCCGTCCCGCCTTTCTCGTCATCCTCTTCGCCCCACCACCACCACCACCCGCTGCCACGCTGCCCCCGCAACCCCAGCCGACCCAGGTGCAATTTTCATGAACGGCGAGAGCGGGATCCGAGAAAGCGTGGCGGCCCGAGCGGCCCGTCCATCCTCCCCCCCCCCCTCATCCTCCTGCTCCTTCTCAAGTTCCATCGCATCTCTCTTTCTCTTAGAAACAATTCCTCTCTGTCGCACCCCCAGACGTTTTGAGGGTTGGAGCCGTTTTGAGGGTATCTTGCGCCGTCTTGGAGCGATCGTGGGCCGTTTCTGGGCCCTTAGAGCAAGCAGCGGTGCAAGTGAGTTCCAGGCGTTTGAGAGGCAAGAAATCGAATGCTAAAGCTTCTCCTAGGGAGGGATGCTCCCCCCCTGGGTCTGGGGTCACAACCCTCGAGACCCCCCCGCGACCCTCTCCCGGTTACGTCGATGTCAGATAACGACGTTGTCAGATGACCGTCTTACTGGATCGCTTGAGGAGGAGGGCCCAGGCAAATGGGGAGAGTGGCAACGGCGACGACGATGACGACGACTCGAACGGAAAAGGGGAGCGGCGACGGCGACGACGACGACGACAACTCAAACAGAAAACGTCTTACACACGCCGACAGGGTACCCTCTTTCTGCGGCTGTCCACGTTTGCTGGAAATGGAAGATGCCAGAGCATGGCGCGGCGTTGAAGCTGACGCGTATCTATTCAGATTTGCTGTTGGTGTTTCCGCGAGGTGGCCCGGAAACCAACTATGAGAACATAAGATTTTATCTGACGGCTCATTATCATTCACTTCCAGTTTCGTCCTACGTGTCGAAAGATGCTTTGGACAAGAAAATCGTCTGGACACCCCTGGTGAGCGTGAGCAGGTTAAGGATGGCGCGCGGCATTCGGCGGCAAAGATCCCATATCTCCCGCCCGACAAGATTCACACACCGATGCAAAACCAGGCGGTCGGTGCATTCAGGGGCTTTGACCCTGAGGCAGGACGTGCTCCTGGAGTTCTCGGCGGGGGCAGTGAAATTGATTGATCGGAGACAGAGAACGCTACAATTCTTGGCCAAAGAGTATGGAAAGGGTGGAAGAAGTCTGCGGCGCGAGCAGCTCTTCCAGCAGGTGCAGGCCCTGCAGAAGGAAGGCAAGATCGCAGCGCGCGCCGAACGGTGCCGCCAGGCAGACGGAGGCCAGGAGCCTACTGCATGAGGAGATCGAGCGCGTTGCGCGGCGACGATTACATAACGATGCGCCCCATCGCAAGGCCGAGGACATCGGCTCTGCAAGGCCATGTGCTGGGAGGGCGTGGTGGACCTCCAGGGCGCCGAGTGAACCCTGATGGTGAAGCCAAGAGTTGGACGCTTCACGCGTGACAAGTTCGTAGTCAACGCCTTGGGGCGTTACTCGGCACTTCTCGCTCATTCTGGACTCATTGCGGTGTCGCCCTGGAAGGAAGGGCACAAGCGCCGGTATTCCACCGAGGAAGAGGAGGAAGAGGGGAACAATAATAATCATCATAAGAATAAGAAAAAGAAGGCAATACGATTAGCAAGACTAATGCTAAGAAGAATAATAGCAATCATAATAACAACAGGACGAATGAAAAGGATACGTAATGAGGCGAAGCGTTGCTATGAGAGATAAGTTGAGTCAACCTGGTGTTCGCTGATCTGGTATGACAGGAGATGGCGGGATGAACAGACGAAGGGAAAAGAGCAGCGAGGAGGAGGAGGAGATGCAGCGAGGCGTGGAGCTATGAGGTGGACAGAGATGGGCCCTGTTCGGACGAGGTGAGTTTTGGTAGCGGCAGCGATCGGTTCGGACGAGAAGGTGAAGCTAGGATTAAGTCGGGCGTGTCCATCTGGGTATGGTTTGGCTATGTTCGATGTGTCCTCCAAAGTCCGCCCCGTGGGAGGACATGCCCGACCTAAATTTAGCACGATTGCCGAGGCGCCGAGAGCGGGTCGCCCGAGCGCCCGCCCTCGCGTGCCGCGCCTGCCCTGCACCATGTGCTGCAGGCGGCGGCTCCGCTCGGCGGGTTAGCTGCCTGCCCTGCAGGGAGGAGGGGGAGGAGGAGGAGGAGGAGGAGGAGGAGGAGGAGGAGGAGGAGGAGGAGGAGGAGGAGGAGGGGGAGGGAGGAGGAGGAGGAGGAGGAGGAGGAGGAGGAGGAGGAGGAGGAGCAGGGGCCCTGCGCCGCGCGGGCCGCCTTGTCTTACGCTTCCTGGGCGTCCTCCAGCCGGGCGGGCACCCCTCGGCAGACGGCAGCCGCGCTGAGGAGGTGGCGATCCACACGTTCAAGCCCGCGGTGGGGGAGCCCACGGTGCTGCTGCCGAGCGTCGGCACTTCCTTCTGCGTGGAGGAGACGAGGGCCCATCCTCGGCGGCGAGCGAGGGGGGGGGGGGGGGAACTTTCGGGCTCGAGGCTCGAGGTTTTCGGACGTGTTATTCAGTTCTCGGCGGTTTTCCAGCCTCGGGATGGTTGCCAACAGCTGCGCCTCGCCGAGGGTGTTCCGGGGGTGCCCGCATCGTCCCGAACGGCCGCTGGAGACACGAGTTATGACCCCAAAATCAAAATTCGGCGGCACACCTGGGGGGGAAGTGAGAAGGAGAATGCCTTCTCAGAAGGCGGCGGGATTTGTCAGAAGACCTCGCGCCTTTTGAGAGATTCTTTGTTTGTCTTCGGGGAAGGCTTGGAAAATTCCTCGGAAGGCCGGGGCGTGGGACTTCCGAGCTTTCTGAGAAGGCCCGCCCTTTCTCACTTACCCCCTTCGCTCGCCGCCGACATTCGGGGGCGAGGGACCGGCCACACAAGGCAGGGAGAGTCAAGGAGCGAAGAGCCGCAAGGATGCGCGGCAGGATTCACGGCGGAGAGGGAGGAGTGGAGAGGAGTGACGAAGAACAGAAGCCTTAGCTGCCTCGATACGGCCGTATTGCTACGCAGCACGTGCCGTGCTCAAAACGTCCGTGACAACACGCTGCGTGTTGGCTCAACGTGTTGGCCCACGTGTTAGCGAAAGTATCGTGCCAGGCCTACGAGATGAGTCTACGTGTTGAGCTCCATAACAATCAATACGCTACGTGTTGCGTGATGCGTGTCGGGGCAGCTAAGACGAGTCACTTGCAGGCTAAAGGAAAGACGATGCACCAAACTGCGGCACCATGAGTACGTGCACAGGAGACCAGACAGCCAGCAGGAAGGAAGGAAAGGGAGGGAAAGGCAGGGAGCGAGCGAGAGAGACAGAGGCACAGAGAGAAAGAGAGAGGGAGAGGGGAAGGAAACAATCTCAGGGAGAGCATACGATTGGGACAGATAGACGGAGCAAAAGGGGCAACTGCGAACCACGCACACATAGGCAGTTTGAAAAAAGGTTGCGCGTCTCTTGAGAGTACGAGATTGACAAGACCGAGGCAGAGAAAGAGCAGGGCGGAGGGGGGGGGGAGAAGAGCGGACTACTCGAAGGGAAAGGATTGAGGTTCCGCAGGGCCAATGAGAGGAGGAGGAGGAGGAGGAGGAGGAGGAGGAGGAGCCAAGGGCGCGAAGATAGGCGCGCTTCGCGTTTCTTCCTCTTCACACGTCTCCCTCCCTCTGGTAAGTGTTGCTCCTGCCTCACATCCTGGCCCTCCCGACAGAGGCAAAACGAAGGCAAGACGAGGATACATCCGGATGGGTGTACAGTGGAGGCCCATGCCAAGAAGCAACCTGGTTGCCTCCAGGGTGCCCCGGGTTTCTTGGGCTTCGATGGTTTTGCCGTGGAACCGTCACGTTTCCACACCAAAAAACAATAGGCGTCTTGGGGTCTCAGGGTTGGGTTTCTTGTGCAAGGTTTCTTGTGGTCGGGCCCCTATTTAAAAAATCGGGAAACCGCCGAGAGCTGGCGGATCTGGCGGATCTGTAGCTCTCGGGCGCCGCGGCCGCTGCAGTGCGCTCCGGAAGCGCTCTGAAAGCGCTCCGGGACGCTCGGAAGCGATTTGTCGTCGTCTTCGTCGTTGTCGTCGTCGTCGTGGTGGTGGTCTTCGTTGTCATGACCTGTCTTCCCCCCCTGGCCTCCCCGAAGAGGCCAGAAGTCCCAAAAAAAACGGGGGCACTGCCAGAAATGTCGAGAATTCCCCGGTGTCCCGAGGGCTTCCATCGGAGGTTGGTAGGCCTCCTACCCCGACGCGTCGATCAGCGAATTGGCCGCCTTCGGTTCGCGAGGGGGCGTCGCGGCCGTCAGCTTTGCAGGTCCAGGTCCGCCGGTTTCGGTCCCAGGCCGTTTTCATCAAAGGGTGGCTTACTGGAGGAAGGCTTGTCCGCCGCCGCTTCCGGGGAGCCCTTCCTCGGCCCTCGCTGGGGTCGATGGGCGGAGGCCCGGCACCCCCCCCCTGCCTCCTCGGCCTCGGGAGCACCCGGCCCGGGCTCCCTGGGCGGCCCCGGAGGGCCGCTCCGCGGGGGCCGCCCGGCGGGGCTGCAGCCGCGCCGGCGCAGCAGTCGGGGGCGGCCAGGAGATCCCTCCTTCCTCCTCCCTCCCTCCCTCCCTCCCTCCCTCCCTCCCTCCCTGGGGGGGGGGGGATCTCACGGCGGGGGCCAGGAGATCTCCCCAGGTCTCATGGCGCCTCTTCTCGTGCCAATGCGTCCCGGGCCCGCCCTGGGCCGCGCACGTGCCCCTGGCCATAACTGGCGCCCCCGCCCCTCTTAGACGCCCCCACTCCTGGCCGCCCCCGAATAAGGTCGAGGTCGGTTCGGGGAGGGTACCCTGGTGTTCTTCGTGCTTGAACTCGCAGATCCTGGGGAGGGTACCCTTGGATCTTCTGGTTGTCTTGGCCGACGGAGGGTCGCATGTTGTCGAGGGATGCTCTTCTGGCCTAGGTCCGACTGTAACTTCGTCTCCATCCTCCCGTTTGTTCAGCTCTGCGTTCTCTCGAGCCAGCAGCATCATGGAGCTCAGCGCACTGCTCATGCCTCGGTCCGACGACGACCTCATTCTTGGGGGGGGGGCGCGGAGGAGAACCGCGCGATCCGCGTCTCTCGCGGGCCGCGAGCCGTGGGAGTCAGCTGGTCGAGGTCAGCGACTCCGAGAGCCGGATGCTTTCCCCCTGGTTGGAGACAGTTTTTTCCTCGGCGAGAAACGGGCGTGACCAGGGGTAGAGAGGGGGCGTGGCCAGTCGAGTCGCGATTCGCGCCGGCGCCGTCTGGGAATGTTGGCGCGAATCGTGACGTGACCAGGGGGGAGGGGTGGGGGCGGGGCCGGTCACGGGCGTTATCGCGAGCAGGAGCACAGCAAGGGCCCCAGCTGGCCGAGGTCAGCGTCTTGTAGAGGGCTGGGCACCTTTCCCCCCGATGGGAACGAGAATTTGAGATTCGGGAGCTCTCACTGAGG